CCATACATTCAATGCAACCCCAATCCTGATCCCATCAACATTCTTGAAGGATATGAAATAACCAATCACTAGCTTTATATGGAAAGAAACGAGACCTCGGATAAGCAAAGCTTTATTGAAGAAGAAGAACAAAGTAGGAGGCCTCACACTCCCAGATCTTAAAACCTACTATACAGCCAAAGTAGTCAAAACTGCCTGGTATTGGTACAACAGACACACAGACCAATAAAACAGAATTGAGAACCCAGAAACAGATCCATTGACCTACTGCCAGCTGATCTTTGATAAAGGACCAAAATCCATTAAATGGGGAAGAGATTGTTTAACAAATGGTGCTGGCAAAACTGGATAGCCATATGCAGAAAAATAAAACAAGATCTCTACCTCACACCATATACAAAAACTAACTCCAGCTGGATCAAAGACTTAAATGTGAAACCAAAAACTATAATGTTCCTCAAGGAAAAACTAGGGGCAAATTTTGTTGTTGTTAGGAGCCACTGAGTCTTCTCTGACTCAGCGACCCTATGCACAGCAGAACGAAACACTGCCTGGTCTTGCACCAGCTTCACAATCCATGCAAATTTAGGGACCCTAATATGTGGCATAAATAGACTATCAAGCATAACCCAAAATGCACAAACAGCAGAAGAGAAACTAGATGAATATGACCTTCTCAAAATTAGATTTTTATGTGTTTCCAAAGACTTCTCCAAAAGAGTCAAAAAAGAACCTACAGATTGGGAAAAAACATTCAGCAATGACATATCTGCAAGTGACTTATCTCTAGAAAACTCCAACATCTCAACAAAAAGACAAATAACCCAATTAAAAATGGGCAGAAGACATGAATAGACACTTCACCAAAGAGGATATTCAGGCGGCCAACAAACATATGAAGAAATGCTCACGATCATTAGCCATTAGAGAGATGAAAATGAAAACACTAATGAGATGCCATCTTGCCCCAGCACCGTAGCAAAGTTCAACAAGACAGAAAATAACAAATGCTGGCGAGGATGCAGGAAGATTGGACTTCTCATATATTGCTGGTGGGACTGTCAAATGATATCACTAGTGTGGAAAGCAGTATGGCAATTAGAAATACCATTTGATTCGGCCATTCCATTACTAGGTATACATCCTAAAGAAGTGAGAGCCAAGACGAGAACAGATAGATACATACCCATGTTCATCGCAGCACTATTTACAATAGCCAAAAGATGGAAACAACCTAGGTGCCCGTCAACATTAGAATGGATAAGCAAACTATGGTACATACACACAGTGGAATACTATGCAACCGTAAAGAATAATGTAGAATCTGCAAAACACCACAAAACGTGGATGAACTTGGAGGACATTATGCTGAGTGAAATAAGTCAATCACAGAAGGACAAATATCGTATTAGTATGTTATTGTAAAAAGTCAAGGAATGGCTAATATATGGAAGGAAATTTTCTTTGTTGGTTACCAGGGATGGGAGGGGAAGGGAGGGAACACCATTAGAGAGGTAGAGACAAGTACTGATTTGGGTGAAGAGAAGGGCAATGTACCAAATGTAAGTAATCAACATGGTGGCACTGAGGAAGAGGAAGACATAGAAAGGTGCTGGGAGACACAGACAACAAAGATGAACCCTTCTGCACATACAGTACTGCACTGTCAGTGAAGGCAAACACAGATATATGAGAGGATAGATGGAAGGACAGGCTGAACTATTAGGTATGTCTAGGCAGTGGGGAGTGTGCCCAAGACCACGTATACGGTTGGCAGACAATGTTTCTACAAGTGTATTGCTGTGTTCTGTAAGAATTCCCAGGTATATAGTAGAGCTAACAAAGGACAAGGTCATAGTCACTTCTTGGCCACAGCCAGCTACCCAGAGGGAGCGAGGAGTTGGACCTGTGGGCTCAGGACCATGCTCACAGGGGACACCAAGCTCAATTGGCATAACATACTACACAGAAACACTGTTCCACATCCTACTTTGGTGTGTAGTGACTGGGATCCTAAAAGCCTGCAAGCAACCATCTAGATGCAACAATGGGTCTTCTCTCCTCATCCAGAGCAAGGAAGAATGAAAAAAACCAAAGACACATGGAAACAATTAGTGAAAGCAACTGGTACACCATGTGATCCTCAGCCTATACGACTATGAGACCAGAAGAACTAGGTGGTGCCCAGCTACCACTGTCAACCACTTGGAGGGCAAGCTATGTAGGAGATCCTGGATAGAGTGGGAGAACAATGTGGAACAAAACTCAAAATCATTTAAAAAAAAGGATGAGGTTTGCTGATCTGATAGAGCCTGATGGAACCACTCAGACTATGGCCCCTAGCTGTCCTTCAGGTCTGGAATTGAACCCACTCCTGTGACAAAGACAGGCATACGAAGGGAACATTTACATTAGTAGATACACTCCTTGGAGAGATCAATCATGGGAGAACACAAAAGGGCTGTGTATGCACAGGGAAACAGCTCAAGGGGGCAGGAGTGCAAGGGAGGGAAGGACACAGGGAAGAGGTAACTATGGGGAGGAAGTGGGAAGAGCTGTTAGCTGTTACATTGAGGGAAATTGCAGTAAATGTCATGAGACAAAGTGTATACCAGCTGCTACATGGAAAATGAATTTGCTCTGTAAACTTTCACCCAAATCACAATAAAAATGAAAAAAATATATATTATTTAAAAAAACAAAGAGGAAAGAGAGCAAACATCATAAGCAAAAATGCATACAGTATGCAGGAAACCTGAAAGAAGGACAAGGTGGAGGAGAGAGAAGGTATGCTAGAAAACATTGTGAAGACGAGGCCATAAAGACATGGCCTTATAGACAGGTTAAGGATTTTACACTTTACCTTAAAAGCAATTAGTGCATTTTCAAACAGTCACTCAGTCTAGAGTGGAAAACTATAGACCGGGCCTGAGTAGATGCAGGCTACCAGATAAGTCCAGGGGAGAGATGATGGTGGCTTGAGCTAGGATAGTAGCATTAAAGATAGAGAGCACACAGATTCAAAAGAGATTCAAGAGCCAAAGTCAACAGGACATCACGACAGATTGAGTAACTGGCATGAGAGAGGAAGTTGTCAAACTTTTACTCCTATAGAAGAAAATGGATGGCAATGTTAATCTTTTGGATTTTTTGGTTTAAACACAGTAAGACGACCTAATGTTTTCTTGAGGAGTAGATCCCGAGTGTGAAACATGTGACTATGAATATTTCAAATTATAGCACTGTTGTTGTTGTTGTTATGTGCCATCGAGTTGGACCCGACTCACAGAGACTCCTCCTTGGGTTTCCGAGGCAATATCACTACGTAAGTAGATTGCCTAACCTTCCTTCCAAGGAGTGGCTGATGGGTTTGAACCACCAGCCTTCTGGTTAGCAGTCAAGCACCTTAAGCACTACGCTATCAGACCTTCTTATAGGACTGAGTTACAGCGAAATATTCCATTGTATGGAAGTGCAGTGTGTCTGTACTCATTTTCTTGGGTGTTAATGGATCTCAGAGATAAAAGGTCTCCGCATATATGTAAAATGGATCTGAACAGAATGTAGACCTTCACCTTCCATTAGGTTCTCTTCCTTTATAAAATTTCCCAAAGCATCCTTTATGACATTGGAATGTTGTCTCAAAGCAGAATTCTATTTATACAAACAGCTGATAAGCTTTTAAAAAAATTAGTATTTATACTAAAGAATAAGAAAATAAGACAAACAAAAAGGCTTGCAAAGTCCAAAAGGAGGCAACTGGCTTTCATGCCATCACCAGAATAGGACTGGGTTTTACAGTGACATGCTATTTGGAGCATTTTCTTTAAACTAATAATTTTTCAGGATAAAGAGGTATGTTACTTAGAAAGCTTCTCACCCATAGAATACAATTTGGGGGGGGGGGGGATGTCATTATAGAAATAGTTCCTGAATCTGATCTACAAAAGAACTAGTTTGCAACTTTACAATTAAGCCTCTTCTAACATAAGTCACTAGTGACTAAATCACTTGGGTATGGCATATCATCTAGACTGTTACAGGGGTATATCTGACAATATTGGTCTCTTTAATTACTGATCACAGGTACTTGTTCAGTCGGATCCCAAGGTGTTTTTGCAGTTTTATCGGTCAAACCTTATTCTATCATTTTTTCCTCGGTTAGAAAAACACGACAGCAGATGATACCAAGGGGGCTTTTATTCTTAACAAAACACCTGCCCCACCCACCTCACACACAATAACCTTTCATTCCAGAACTATAGCTACGGTCAGAGAAGGACGCCAGTCGCCAGGGCCCTGGTCGGTAACTCAGGTTATCGGAAGCAGACCTCAGAACTCCGAGAAGCTGTCTCACCAGTCCTGAAGTAGTGTCCGATTTCCCAAAAGAGAACCAATATTTCCACTACGGAACCCGAACTTGGGAGCCGGAGCCGGCGCTAGAGACTCTCCCGCCGGTAGGCGACTCCGGCTCAGAGTCTCCCGTTACCTCAAGGCCTCTTAGGGGGGCTCGGGCCTCTCAGATCCACTCCCCGAGTTCGTGCTCTCCCCAAGTCCAAGTTCACGCGGGTGCCCACCACCCCTCCCTCCCGACCAGCCTCCGGCAGACCCGTCACCAGGCAACAGTCGCCTCCGGGCGGCCCTGGGAGGCCTACCCTGAGTGCTTCCCCATTCCCTCCTAGTTGCCTAGGGCGTCCAGGCGGGACCGCAGCTGGCGAAACAAGTCGCTCGGAGGCCGCGGGCGGTCACTCACCTCTTTCTCTCACCTCCCCAGAGGGGCAGCGTCGGACTTCGTTTTACCCCGCCGCCTTCCAAACGCTGCCTGGCTGCACTGGCTCAGCCTCGGCGACTGGCCGCCACCGCCGGCTTATTCCATGGCTACTTCCACCCGCGCGGCCGCAAGGGCTGGAGCGGGAGAAGGGTAGAGGGAGAGGAAGGGAGGGACTGGGAAAAAAGTGTAAAGGAGGGGGAAGAAGATCCAGAGACCTGCCGGCCAGTGCATGACGTCACTTCCGACTGGTTCGGAAGGGGCGGGCCCCAAACTTCCCTCAGCCACCTCCCCCGAAGCTAGGTGGGGGCGGGAGGAACCGGTAAAGGAGGTGATGGCGGTTCTTTTGACTCCGCGGTTCCGTATCCTTGTCAGTCAGAGCGAGCTTCGGGGCCCAAGACTGAGCAGGCCGAGTTTCGTAAGCCCTTGAGGTGGCTTATATCGGAAAAGAAGGACAGGTAGCCCTATAGGTAGATCTTAGCCAAATGTGTAGTGAAGGTGGGGATAGCTGAGGGAAGAGGGTGGTTTGGACATTGCTCCTCCGGTTTTTGGGTCCCGCCCCTTTACTGGCCCACCTGCTTTCTCTGGTGCTGGAGAAGGGAAGCGGGGACTCACCCTTTTCAGGAGCTATGCTCGTGAAGTGGCGTTGGAGGATCCACGAAAGCAGTATTTTGTAAACTGTAACATGCATACGAATCACTTGGGGACTTTGTTAAAATACAGGTTCCAACTCAGGAGTAGAGTCTGATATTCTGCATTTCTAAAAAGATCCCAGGATCCCAGATGAACCCTATGCTGCTGATTCCATTTAGAAATGAAGAAAAAAACGCCAAATCAGTTGCTGCATGAATAGTTACAGTACTAGATGGCAAGTTTCTGGAGCACAAGGAATATTTCTATAACCTAACCTATTTGCTTGATAAAGATGAGAGAGGCAGATGGTCCCCGAAAAATACCCTTTTCTGCACTGCTCAGAGCGCTCCCCCCCGCCTCGTCTCCCCACACACACCTCCGCCGGACCTCCCCACACACACCCCACCTTTTCATTTTTGAATATATATTTATGTAATCTAAATTTGTTAGAAACATATGTTTAATTTTTTTGTTTTTCAGGATTCTCTGGTCCTTTTCAAGCTACTCAGCTCTGGGATGGTATTATTCACTCCCTTTATACCCAAGTAGAAATAAAAAGAAGACGGCATAACTATGAACATACAAAGACTGTTTTATTGGTTCTGATGCTGTTGATGTAGTATTAACTCATCTTATGCAAAATATGTGCCTAAGTAGCACTGACATCTCTCGTCTTAAAGGAGTTCATCTTTGCCAAGTTCTAATGAATCATAAAGTATTTGAACCAGTAGGAATGAAACTATTCAAAAATGAAAAGGATTTGGAATTTGAAGATTCAAACAGCAGTCTTTACCGGTTTCTAGGCAGAAAGCCACCTCATGTTTTTTGCAAAAGGAAAAAAGATACAGAGAATGAGTTAATTGATGAAATAAAAGCAAAAGAACCTACAAGGTTAGTGTTATTCAAAATACTGTAATATACACTACTGTGTTTAGAACTTAGCAGAACTACTGTCAAAGCACTAAGCTTTAAATGTTACGCTTTCAGTTTTTTTTCAGAAGTCAATAAAAGAATAGCTACATAAACATTAATCCACTTCTGCATTTGTTTTAAAATTTGTGTAAGACATTATCACATAAAAAAATTTCAGAATTTATACCAGGAAAAACTTTATCTCCTCTGAGGAAGAGATATGCTTCCTATTTTTGAAAAATGACTTAGCCAATATAAAAATAAGTCAAGGTTATCTGGAAGCTAAGAGCATACATTTTCTACTCTATCATAGCATCTATGAATATTTAGAATATTTGCTTAGAATATTTGCTTTCTTTTTTTTTTTTTAATTCTAATTTGTCCTCGTTTGGTGATATTCTATTAAATTTGTTATGTGTTATATTGTAAGCTGCCTGAAATCCTTTTTGGAAATAGGCAATGTAAAACTAAATTTTAAATTATAAATTATAAATGTATACATGAATTTGTGGGTCATTGATGGTTTAGTGGTAGAACTTTTCTCTTCCATGTGAGAGACTTGAGTTTGAAACTACTTGCCTGTCAAAGGAGGCTTGCATGTTGCTATGATGTAGAACAGATTTTATCAGAGCTTCCAGACTAAGTCAGACTAGGAAGAAAGGCGTGGTGTTCTGCTCCTGAAAACCAGCCAATGAAAACCCTGTGGGTCACAACAGTTCAATAGGCAGGTGATCACAGGGATGGTGCAGGACTGAGTGACATGTCATTCTGTTTGCATAAAGTTCCCATTATGTCAGGGGCTGACATAATGGCAGCTGATAATGACAACAAATAAATTTTAATAAATGAATTAAAATGTGTACTTGGAATTTCGTTCTTGTATATAATGTTAAAATTCACATTTTTTTTTAACAGAACAGAAGATGAAATGATTTCAAATCTGCTAGCACAAGAGATTGGGGAGGAAAGCATTGAGGAACTTATTCATATACTGAGCTGGAATCCAGCTTTACCTCCAAATATCACAGTTAACAAACCTGTCCTCCAGCTTTCAAAAAAAGGTCATTTCAATTTTCATTATTTTTTTTTTTTTCTAGAACTTTGTAAGGAAGAACAGACTTTTCAGCTGTGGTGGAAAATAGTGTGTTTGGTATGTTGACTGTCCACTTCTCCCCCTCTAAGGGTTTCCTTCTACATAGTGAGTATATCAGACAAGACAGGTGAGGCGCTAGAGATCCACAATGTTGAGCTTCTTTGCACAGCGACCATGACCAGATTAATAGGAAATATTACAGTCCATAAACCTATTGCCATCAAGTCGATTCTGACTCAGCAACCTTATAGACAGAGTAGAACTTCCATATAGGGTTTCCAAGACTATAATCTTTATAGAAGCGGACTACCCCATCTTTCTCCCACAGAACACCTGATGGGTTCAAACTACCAACCTTTTGGTTAGCAGCAAAGCATTTAACCACTGTGTAGTCAGGGCTCCTTTACAGTCCATAGTTTTAGAGAACACATGCAGACTCACTACCAGTCCTGTTATCAATAATCCAAGACCATCTACTTTTGGACACATCCTTTGTCTGTTGCATAAACTTCTTAAACATGTCCCTGCTCCTTCCCTTTCCCAGAACAAAGCAAGCTGCTTATTGGTCTAGCCTCTTTACTATATACTTTGTTTACTTGTGGTTTTTCTCCATATAATACCAATAACGGGAGAAGAGCCCCATAGTTGAGGCAATTAAGAAGGATACACACACAGTTTTAATGATTATACCCTTTCCTGCATTTGGTCAAGCATGATGTGCATACTGGAAGAGCACAGTTTATCAACAACAGTTAGAATGAGTGCAATAAGGCAATATAGGGTGCTCTGTGGGTGCAGCTAAGGGGTACACAAATTAGCTAAAGGGAGTTACTGAAGATTCCCAGAGAATGTAATGTTTAAGCTTGATTATAAAGAAGGAATGGAAATTAGCCTGGGAATGAAGTGGAAAGAAGCACCTGAGGTAGAAGGAACTATATGTATAAAAGTACAGAAATAAGATAGAACATATAACAGCTGAGAAACAGAGAGCCCTTTTTGACCAGAACAAGCAAGGAGAAATGAGAAACAAGATGACAAGAGAAGCAGGCAAGAGCAGTTATGGGAGCTTTTTAGGTTATGTTGTTCTTGTCGTTCATTGCTGCCAAGCTAATTCCAACTCATGGCAATCCCAAATGTGCAGAGTAGAACTGCACGCCATAGGGTTTTCAAGGCTTGTGACCTTTCAGAAGAAGGTTGCCAGGCCTTTCTTCTGAGGCACCGCTGGGTGGGTTCAGACCACCAACCTATTAGTTAGTAGGTGAATGCTTAACCATTTGTACCACGCATGTTACAAAGGTTAAATTTTACTGTAAAAACAATGAGGAAATGCTAACCAAACTATGGTACATACATACAATGGAATACTATGCAACGCTAAAGAATAATGTAGAAACTGCAAAACACCGCATAACATGGATGAACTTGGAGGACATTATGCTGAGTGAAATAAGTCAATCACAAAAGGACAAATTTGTATTAGTCTGTTATTGTAAAAGTCAAGGAAAGGTTTATCTATGGAAGGAAATTTTCTTTGTTGGTTACCAGGGGTGGGAGGGAACGGGAAGGAATACTGTTAGAAAGAGATGAGTGTTGATTTGGATGAAGAGAAGGGCAATGTACCCAATGTGAGTGGTCAGTATGGTGGCATTGAGGAAGAGAAAGACATAGAGAGGTACATGGGAGGTACAGACAACAAAGATGAACCCTTCTGCACATACAGTACTGCGTTGTCAGTGAAGGAAAACATGGGTATATGGGTGGATAGATGGGTGGATAGGCTGAACTAGTAGGTATGTCTATGAAGCAGGGAGTGTACCCAAGAACATGTATAGGGTTGACAGACAACGGTCCTATAAGTTTACGTGTATGATCTGAATTCCCAGGTGTATAGTAGAGCTGACAAGAGGCAAGGTTGTAGTCACTGCTTGGTCACAGCCAGCTACCCAGAGGGACCAAGTAGTTGAACCTGTGGGCTCCGGACCATAGTCGCAGGGGACATCAAGCTCAACT